GTCATTAGCAGCATCATACTCACTACCATTATCCTGTTTGTATGTCTGATCATTTTCTGATTCATCATCTGAATCGTGGTCTGCGTCATATATGTCACCATCGAAATATTCATTTGTTTCATTGACAACAGGTGTTTGGGTACCCGACTTGAGGTCATGCTTGGCATTTTCATGTTGCTTTACAAGTATTAAGCTCCTTGCATATTCTAGTTCATAATATATGGCTTCAATTGCATTTAAAACACCATTCTCTTGTTTCAATCTTTCGCTAATTTTCTTTGCCTTCGTGATCATTTTTGCATCCGATGTTGCAGTTTTCAATGCAGTGCACAATGAACGAGCATTTAACTTCTTTAACCCAATTCCAGCACCAATATCTTCTATCCTTGAAGAATAGAAGAATTGATCACCAAAAAATGGTTTGATTATCGTGGGAATGCCAGCTCTCATTGTAGCACCAGTTGTACCAGATCCACCATGATGAACAGCCGCATCTATCTTTGAAAATAACCAATCATGTGGAATAGATCCTGAATTGTAAATTTCCTCTGGTAGTTCAACTTCTGGTTCTGCATTGTCCTTTGCGGGATTAGAGTTTCTGTCCGACCAACCTTTGTTCAAGATACAGCGAACATCTGCATTGAGAACAGCTTCGACTATTGCGTTGGTAAGTATCTTGGCATCTTCAACTACGATTGAACCAAATCCAATGTAAACAATTTTTTTATCGTCCGCTCTCGCCTTATTCATAAAATAAATCAATTCTTTTGGAGGATCAAAATTATCAGCCGTTCCTTCGTCTAGAAACCAGTATCCAGTAACTTTGACCCAATCTGGAAAATCAACTGAAGGTGGGAATATTGTAGGTGAGATATTGTATAAAAACGGTATTTCATATTGTGCAAGTCTGTACAAATTGGTTCTTGGTAATCCCAACTGTTCTATACGCCATTTATTAACTTGACCATTGATTCCTTTCCAAAGAACTGTCTCGAACATTAAATGTGTCATATAATTATACGAACCACCTTTCTTTTTATCGGGTACAATAAACGCATGTGGATATGCCCTGGTCCTGGTCCATGGCATTGTAAAAGCTCTCATATAAGGTATGCCCAATGCTTCTGCGATATGTGCACCAACCATTGCTGATGGACTTTCAATCAAAATATCGCTCCCTTGACAAGCCTTCCAACTAGTGTCTAATAACTCCTGAATCCAACCTCTGAATTTGGAACTTGCTTCTTTAAGAAATGAGAGAGACATTGACCCATGGGTTACCATCAATGACATTAATTCAACTGGATTTCCTGCAATTGTTTTAAATTTAATGCCATGTCCTACAATCCATTCTTCAAAGTCAGTATGTGTGGCGATTGTTACATTATGACCTTCATTCAATAGTCCTTTGCCTAATGCTATGTAAGGTTGTACGTCTCCTCGTGATCCGATAGTTAGTAATGTAAAGTTAAAGGAAGTAGAAGGTCGTATTTCTGTCTTATAGAATGGAGAATCTTCTAAAATTATTGGCACATGTAGACCAGCTGCTGCATTAATTTTGTCTTCAAACAACTTTAACCTTGCATTTTCAATTCTCCATTGAGATAATTTGATGCCAGTTGAAGACTTAGTGGTTTCCGCAGAAGAGGTGGTGTTTTGGAAATATTCAGACTTGCCATCTTGAGTATTTTTATTGTCGTCCGCAGACTCGTTTTCAGCTTCACGGGTTTTTTCCAACTGTCGTAATATCATAGCTAAACAATCATCTCTAGAACTTTGAACGCTGAACTCCATAAATAGCTCATCATATCCACGAATAATTAGCACCAAGCCAGAATACGCTATATTTGATCCTTTTTCTTTATAACATGTATCAACGTCAATTAACGGTAATATCATTTTTGTTGAAACCCCAGGTAGCATACTTCTAAAGCATATTTCACTATCACCTAAATATACCTTACCAAACACAGGGACGGCTCTTATAATATGACAATGGTATGAAGCTACCAACTGCTTTTTGTTATTAAATGAAAAACGTTCTTGGAAATGCTTGGTATCTACTTCCCTGGCTGAAATATCTCTTATGAAATAAGAATCGTTTTCTTCAAGCTGTTCATAATGATTAACAGCAGCCAACCTACTCCTTATTGATGACATGGCCTTAATACTTTTGCCGATCGATGACAATCTACTGTTCTTCTTTTTATTATCTTCATATTCAGAAGGGTCGGTAAGATTCAAAGGACCGGCTTCAATCGGCTGAGGTAATTTAATTTGGGGAGACAATGCTTCTGCTTTAGATAGCGTATTATGTCGAAAATTGGATGGACTATTGTTGTTGTTTTCCTCAGTGTGATTATATCTGGTACTGCAGACTTCGTAATTTTTTTGTGAAGCCTCGAAAGCCATATTCAAATCTTTCAAACCTGATAACGACAAGTTGATTCCTTGAACTGGAGAAGTAGTCTCAGAGCGATCTGGTGTTGATTTTTCGGATTCTGATCTACTTTTATTCGAAAATATTTTCGAGGGAGTAATTAATGTTTTGCCGAATTTCCTTATCTTCGACTGTGGCAGGGTTGGTACTGGATGCGTCCATCCGCATTCAGATCTAGGTGATGCCAAACCTGAATTTGGTGTAGGAGTATGCCTATGACTCGCCTCTTCAATTTGATCTATAATACTATTCTGATAATGATCTGTTGTAAGCGTGGAGATAGATCTCGGTATATTAATTTCCTCAGCTTTGTGAGTAAAAGGCCTATTCCAATTGGATCCAATTTCACTGGCATATTTTTTACTTATACTGTTGCGCCTATTTGGGAAGATATTTGCACTATGATGATTTTCATTAACAATTTCATTAAGCGTATTAAATACTTCGTCGCCGTCTTTAAATAATAGGAAATAAGTATTTTCTGATATTAATTCATCAGCTTCATTTGTTGAGTTTTTTTTCATTTTCTTCTTCGTTTTATTCTTCAACTCTTTTTTCATTCTACTTGCCAGTAGGGCGTAACTCCCTATAGAATCATCCTCTAGATGTTTCACATTCAATACCTTTGGCGTCTCTTCATCTTCATTTGAATCTGATTTTTTTTCAGAAGCTCCAAAAACTTCATTAATATCGAAGCTAATGACATCATTGATAGGGATCTTCATAATAACCTCATTATTTGCATTTGAGTTATGCAATTGAAACACAACCTTTACTATATTATTAACCCATTGCCTGGCTGAGTATAAACTATCCGAATGGAACTTATGAGTCTTCTTTTTAGTCACCACTTTAAACCAGAAACCACCACTTACATTTTCAGAATTATCTTCCAACTGATAATTAGAATTTAACATATTGGAAAGTTCAGCTTCTTCATCGCCTGAAGAAATTTCCTGTGAATCATTACGGGATAACTCAGGTCTGGGTGACATATTACTATCATTCTTTCCTCTTTCAATAACTTCAGCACTAACGCATGACTTTAAGTCTATAAGAGTAATCGGAAAATATAAATCTGTTGGAGAATGATACACTGTTATAGTTTCATTTCTCAAGATGACCCAAAACCTATGAGTCAATGGAGTACTGAAAACCGTATCTCCATATAGTGCCGTTTTCATACCTAATGAGCCTGACTGAATCACATCATGGGAGTCATCGTGATGTTGGAATCCACCTGTAGCACCTTTTGATGCACTTATGGCATTATGTCTCTTGGGAAGAAACGTGAAAAAAAGTATACTTTCCTTAGTCAAGTATATGTGACCTTGTAATAAAACATCTCTAACAAGCCATACATTATAATTACCGTAAAAATAGTCATCATCATTTAATTCAAACACCCGTTTCAACTTATCCGCTACTTTCAACCGGAAGAACTTCTTTTTAAGTTTTTGTTCTTCAGATTCATCCTCATCTGTGGATATTGTAATGTCTTTTAGTTTCAATAATTCAGTTTGTTGAATACGAAAGGGATCAAAGTTTTTCATGATTGACTGTTGAAATACAGTTCCCTTGGAAGGATCTGATGCTAAAGCAGTTGTTGATTCGTCATGGTCATCAAATAGCATGTCAGCTACATTGTCTAGGCGCTCTTCGGGATCTAATTTAGAATGTATACTTGTGTCTTCAATTTTCGGCTTTAAAGTGTTTTCATCTCCAGTACTCTCAATATCTTCGTCTTCACTCTCGTCAATGTCATAGTCAAGTTTATACTCTCGTCGATAGTCTGGCTCATTAGGTTGTTCTTTTATGGACTGTGTAAATTTATCATTAAGTTTCAGAGCTTTTGCTTCATTTGCATTATTTGTATCGTCGCCTTTTAGATCATTCAATTTGCCCATACCAGCATATAAGAAACTCACAAAGTTATTCAGAGGCCCCACGCTTCCTATGGGATGAGCAATATCTTCATCATCACTAAACGTCCTTTCATCTTTATTGGCCTCATTATTGCTCGATTGTCCATTATTAGAAGAAGTTGGATTTTGGTTTAGAAATGTGAATGGTGGAATGACTGATGATGAAAGCCGCTTATACAATGATGTTGTTTGTTTGTCAGTATCATTAACTCCTTTAGAGTAACTCGAATTTACTTTATCTTCTTTTGGTAGCATGTCTTATTTTACCTGAGATATTATTCTGAATTAATTGTAACATTGATATCCTACGTAACTCAATTTAAAAAATCAATTAATAAAATTGTTGTATAATTTGTATCGTATTAATCAATATTTTAGATATGTTTTAAACAGTTTTTATCCGAGCTTAAATTATGGAGCAAACAAATGATAACAAATAATTGAATGGGTCCGCCAAGTTTTATTTCGATAAATATTTTTCCTGTGATTGTTCCTTTACTACTATCCTATATTTACGAAGGATTTTGCTAATAGGATTGGCTTATTCGTGCCAAGTATATCCATACAATGTTCTACTTATTAATCTACAATTAATTATGCGTATTGTTTTATTGCGAATGGCGAATACTATTAACTTATTGCAATTCATGAGCTTTCAACAACTTGTTCAACTCACTATTAGAATTATAGTATAATTCATCGAATTTACCATCCTCTACTATTTCACCTCGATAATTAACTACTATTATTCTTTCACTGTTCCTAATAGTCGATAGTCTATGTGCAATCAGTATAATAGTCACATGCATATCTTTTGATAGTCTCTTTAAATTCTTCATGACTATCTCTTCCAGCTGAGAATCCAATGCAGACGTAGCTTCATCAAGAATTAAAATATCAGGCTTCTTAATTAATGTTCTTGCTAAGGATACTCTTTGCTTCTGGCCTCCACTTAATTGAGCAGCACCGCTGGTTGTAGGACCAATGACCGTATCAAACTTATCCGGGAATTCCTCAATAAATTTATAGGCATTACTTAGCATTGAAGCCTCTATTATTTCATCTTCATTACTACCCATTCTGCCAAACACTATATTATCTCGTATAGTTCCACTGAAGAGTAATGGCTCTTGTTGTACGTACCCAACTTGAGACCTATAGAAATTCAAATTGAGATCTTTGATATTATGGTTATTCACCGTAATTGTACCCTCAGTTGGATCATAGAACCTTAACAATAATTGAGATATGCTTGACTTTCCGCTACCAGATGGCCCAACGAAACAAACATGTTCGCCTTTGGTGATTGTTAAGTTTAATTCTGATCCACCAAATATAGGTGAGTCCGGTCTTGATGGATAGCTAAATTTTACATTACGAAATGCGATGTCACCATGCAAATCATCTACTTTTTTACCTAAGGTTGTCGTAATCTTTGGCTTCAGTTCTATCAATTCAAATACTCTTTCTGCAGCCCCAACTCCCTTCATCAACTCTGAATAAAAATTACCAAGTCCGAAAACTGAGCTACCGGTATAAACAGCATACATCATAAAGCTCGATAAATCACCTACAGTTATTTCACCATTACCAATTAATTTGGTTCCAATCACAAGTAGTCCGATTAGTGTCATATTGCCCAAGAATCCATTGATGCCGTAGTAAATACCACTCAATTTTCCTTCACGCATCGATGAACTGAAAATATTTTTAATTTCTTGATTATAACCATGAACAATCATTCGTTGCTGAGCAAAACTTTGAATAGTTTTCAATCCATTCAATTTTTCCTCCGTAACTTTGGTCATATCCCCTAGATTTTCTTGAATTGTACGGGACAACAGTTTAATTCGTCTACCATAGACTACCGACATTATAATTAAAGGAGGAAATATTGAACTCATACAAAGTGTAAGTTTCCACAGTACAACGCACATCATTGAGAGCCCAACACAACCACTAATTAACGATCTTGCCCCATCCGATATATTGCCACTCAAAGTTTTGGAAATTATTTGTGTATCGCTCGACAATCTTGATATCAAATCACCCGTTTTCATTCCATTATTACTAGGTCCACCCTCAAAAAAGTATGAATCTTGCGATAAAATTTTCAGAAATAGCCGTGATCTTAGCCGTGCAACCAATCTTTCACCCGCTGACCGTAATAAGTAGGTACGTCCGAAATTAGCCACTGCTCCTATAGAAAAAAAAACACCAAGAGCTCCATAGAATTCATATGGTTCTAAGCCAAAAATCTTTTTATCATTATCATCATCATTATCGCCTTTTTCGGAATCCGCATCGGTAATTCTGGAATCTGGAGATTTTGCTGTATCAATAATCTTCCCAATAAATAACGGTAAGGACATGCTAACTGCCGAGGTCAAAATAAGGCATAGCAATGCCGCGATTATTATCTTAACTTCAGGCTTTGCTAATCGAAATAACTTGCTTATATCCTTTGTTAATGTATTTGTTTTGACATTACGAGTCAGATTTCCTGACCTTTGTATGTTGGTGGTTGTAGAAGACGTTGAATTATACCTCTGGAAGTTCCAAGGTAGCCTTTTAGCATTGAAATATAATGTTTGTGGTCTATTATTTTCCACCCTATGTACATGAAAATTGTGTGAAAAATTAATAAAACTTATTCTCGAAGTAAGACTTCTCCTCACTATATCATTGTTTAGCCTTGAAATTAATCGAGGTATTGTGAGTTGAGATGTCCCAATCATGTTCGTCCAAGGTACAATTGTCTATAAGATATGCTTAAAATTAATGGAGTTCATTTAGTACATGCGATCGGTTAACATTTCTTTGAACGAGTTATATACAGGTTGACATATGCTGCTATCTATAAGCTAACTTAACAAACTAAAATTCTCCCTTATGGAAACAGCCTTCAACAGTAGCATGTTATGTTCATCGATATTACATTCTCGTAATTCTAACGACCTAAATTTGCCATTCAGAGAAATTTTGTCGAACATACGTTCATTTACAAGCATTAGGGTATTATTGCAATTCAATTGCAAAGTAGTTAACTGAGGTAATACTTCAGTAAAGTTAAAAAATTCGAAATCAGTCTGGCCCAAAGTTGTAAGCTTATTCGAACATACCAGCAACTTTTCTAATGTATTTGAAGGTAATTTGAGCACAAACTTTTTTGAAATATAAGTTAACAAATTGTTATCTAAATTCAATTCTTTCAAGGCAGGAGGCCATACAAAATCATTTGCCAATAAATCAATCTTGATATCCAGCTCTCCTTCATTCCTGGGATTAGAATCCAGTTTTATTATGTTGTCGGATAGGTTCAAGTAAGTGACATTCGTAAAGCATCCTAGTAATTGGCTCCACCGAGAAACATAATAATCTCCAATATCCGTAGACTTGATTGTAATACTCTTGAATTTGCTGCTTAACGAATTTTTCAACACTGTATCTGGGTTTGCTAGACTTATCAAAGTTTTCAATACTGCTACCAATATTGCTGTTGGTGATTCGACACCTATTGTGTATCCATCAATATATAGTTCTAATTGACATGCAACACCAAAATACTTCGTAATTTCATTTCTGTCATTCAAGTTATCAAATATAGCATTCAACGAATACAAGTCATCAACAAAATTGCTATAATCGTTGACGTCTCGAGTGAATCTAAATTTTAGTATCTGTGGCCGTGTTTCCTTGAAAAGTGTGTTCTCTATTTCGTTCTCCTTACTTTCAAGAAACTTATCTTCAAAATTACGGAGTGATAGGACAACATCAGATTCCGTTTCTAGTCCCTTCTTACAAGAATAATCAGAAGTTACCAATAATTTACCACTATAGAGCCTTTGAAAGGCAAAACGGATTAATAGTTTTACGTTATTTGCTGCAGTATCCAAATTAGGCGGGAGGTTATCAAGTATTTGATGAAGTTTGTTAAGCAATGACTGAGTCTCCAATGGAGTCAACATACAAAATATTTCAACTATAATTTCATGTGGTAATTCTGAAATGTTAAGCATATTTACCTGTTATTCGTAACGTTAATATACCTTATCGTAAAAAATTAGATCGTTAAATGAAGCAATTCTTATTTCTTTATCAGATCGCGAAGATAAGTGTGGTTCTTACAGATATACATCATATACTACTATATTTTTCATCGACTATATATCATACTTCCTATCTATATATGACAATATCAAATCAATTTTTCTTGTCTCTTTGAATTCTGGGGTTTTACATGAATTATATAAACTATGCATTAATGAAAAAATTAATCTTAGTTGAAGGTTGCATCTGTTTCCATGTCAATATCTGAATCTTCCAGACACTGATAGCTCTGCATAGGTTCTACAAGCTCATAGACCTTTGGATTGTCTGTATCAGAATTATCAATGGATAATTCGTCTATCATTTCAAGATCTTTATTCACCTCCCTTAATGTATCCCAATAATTATATTTTATATTCTCAAAAATCTTATCATCCTTTTCATCTGTATAACTATCCTTTTCTTTGTTAAAATCCCTGATTTTTCTCCTTCTATTTAGTTTCAATTCCTCTAATTTATTCTCTTGTTCCAAAATAAGTAATAAGTCGTTATATGTGAAATTAATCTCCTTCAGATTGATTAAATTCATGATCTTAGAATAAAATTTAAACTTTTTTATTGGAATTCCATTCGATCTTCTATTATACTTCCTAATAAATCTGTTAAATAGTCTTATTACCCAACTTTCAAAGTGGTAACTTAAGATAAAATGTGGTTTGTACCACTGTATTAAAGCTGACTTGGAATTGTAAAGCGTATGAAAATGCTGAACTAGCTTTTCCATAACATAGGAGTTGATATTTGGGGAATTGATAGTGGGTGGTGGGGATGAAGATTTCTTAAACACGGAATAAGATTTCAAACTTATAGATGGGTTTACCACATAATCAGTTTGTTGTGACAGTTTCGATGCTTTGGATTCAATAAATGGGTGGGTAGCCTTTTTTGGTTTAACATTGGTGTCATCGTCATCTAATGATAATTCCAGTAATAAATTATCAAGTTTTATCCGCTTACCATTTTTTGCAAGGTCATATGAATTTTCATTATCCTCGTCATAAGATCTTGAATGTTTTTTTTGCATTTGTCGTTCTCTGTTTCAATAACAACTTCATATACTTGTGAATTTTGTCATGTGTTTACAATATTGGTTCTCTTTTCATTTTATCTACTTTATCTTTTTATGTAAATGGCCGGTAAATTTATTTTATCTCGAACTTTCTATTATATACATGACTCGATAATACTTAAATATTTATTTACTATGAACTGACCCTTAAATGCTTGTTTCAGAGGAGCTAATTCTGTCTGTTGTATCAATCGGTTCATCTTCGTCAGTCTTGTCAGACTTAATGTTATAATTTGAGACAATATCATTACATAATATATCATAACAAGCTTTCAAGTCTCTCAAATCTTTCATAGTAAGAGATTCAAAATCTTTATTCGTATACTTCGTTAAATTCTTTATTTGGATTCCACCTTCTTCATCTAAATTATCCCCAGCGGTCGAACCTACGGAAATCTCCTGGCTTTCAGGATTATTGTTGTTATTCGCTGATATATTATTAAACCACTTATCCATTACCTGTAAGCTGGTTGTTCGATTTCTATAATCTGGCCTTCTTTGAAGTGTTGCAGAGCTACCATTGGATGTACTTATATCTTCATTTATAGTAACATTACTATCTGTGTAATTATTCAGGCCTTCAACAAACGAATGTATTGATAAATTAGAAGCATTCTTAGTTGGATTTGCATGCAACGTAGAAATTGTGCCATTGGAACCATTTGTAGTACTATTGAATTTGGTCATAAAATCAGATACGCCATTGGTAAGCTTGGAAGTGATAGAACTCTTTTTCTGATGCTCTCTAATTCCATTTTGATTTTGATCTTGATCTTGCTTTTCAATTGATGATGACCTCGTTCTCAAGTGATCCAGTGACATTTTGCTCATTAAAGAGCTTGATCTTTTATTCCTTTCCTCTGTCTTAGTATCGGTATTATCCGATTCAGTTGCAGTTATTTGCTCTTCTATGCTTGGCCTGAACTGTGGAACCAGAACCAGGCTGAATCTACCTAAAATATTCTTCATCATCAGCGAAGGTATATGATTGGTATCGACTGTATTACTTTCATTAGAGTTTGTAGGAGAAGTATGCGTTGACTCGGTTTCATGATTGCCTGCAAAAGATGGAAAGCTTTCCTTATTCAATGATAATGATGAAGATTTCAAGCTGTTCATTATGGATGAATTCGACCTTGATCTATTAACTGATAATGCAACATCATTTAGCTTATGGCTAATTGTGTTTAATAACGAGCTGGAACGAGACCTAGAAGATACCTGTGGCGAAATATCTTCTTGGTTTTTAAATTCATCTATTGCCTTTCCATCTGGGAATTTAAAGTGACTTAATAATTCCTGATCTACTAATTTATGTAGGGAACATTTCAATAGTTGATTTTCCGTTGTTTCTTCTGGAACTAATTCTTGGATTGTGACACTCAGTAAAAAGAACAAAACGGCTTCAAAATTAGTTAAATAAAATTTAAGTTCTCCATTATTTAAATATTTCGCTTGAATATAATGAACTAAATCTTTGTCATTTTTGAAAAAGTCAATATTGCTAGACGTTTCTAGTTCCGTGTCGTCTTCTTCTTTTAAATTTAAATATTCAAACAAATTATTTTTCTTGGGCGTCTTCTTACCATTCAACGATCTGTTCAACCTATCAGTAGGTGTATATGATGCTGGGGAAGAATTTAATGTAAATGAATTTATGTCAACATTATAGGGATCAATAAGATTAACAAAATTTTTTATGAAAGTGAAATTCAAATATAAGTCACTCGAATTGAAAGATACATGATATATGATTATGTAAATCAATGAGGGAATTATATCATCATTATTAACGTTGCTAGGGTCACTATCATATGCTTCTGATAATAGTATGATTAAAAGCTTTTGAATTTCTACCACTGCTTTTAGTTTCGAATAAGGAGTAACACTTTCAATTAATACGACAAATGTTTGCTTGATTTTCTCCAATGTACTGTTTTCATTCCCAGCATCGGAAATTGATGAAAAAAATGCAGTCAATTTATTATTTGTATCACTCTCGATAAAGCAGGAGAATGGTAACTTTAACTTCTTCAATGCATCCAATTTTTCATTAAGAAATTCCTGGAGTATAATATCACGTTGATCAAATTTAAATATCTTTTCAAGTAACGAGATGCCTTCATCTAGTGTATTATTTGAATTAAATAGCTCTGCTTGAGCCTTCTCGATCGCTTCCACTATCGTGATAAATTTATAATAATTAAATACTCTCAACTGCAAAACAGCATCTAAGTCCGTTCTCTTTAATAACTTCACTGATGACGTAGAGTAATTAGCGATTGCTAATAAATAGTCAAAATCATCGGCGTGGGTCCTAAAATACTCCGAACTCGATATGAGTTGCTTCTTTACGCTGTTTGACTGTGTATATAAGTTTATAACCAATGAATTCAAGTCCTTATAGAAATTAGAAAATAACAGCGCTAGTTCTGGTAAAGTAAGCGGCGACTGGTACCTTGGTTCCTTCAAGTATTTGATAAATGATTGCACCAACTGGCTTATCTGCTCATTCAAGTTGACAGAATTGCCATGGACTTCTTCTTCTAGTATCAGTAGAAGCTTATGCCAGGACATAATTTCTATAATATGAGACAGAATTAGATATTAAGACTCGTGAAAATGCAGATCCATTTGTACTAATTTTTTTTTTAGAATCAGAAATTTATCCCTTACAAGCCGCTAAAGCCTATATGCACTCAAAGTTTTATCATAGCTTCAAACTACTTTAACTAGCAAGGCTAGATTGATTATACAGCGAACGCTTGTTTGGTTATTGCATATAGTTACCAGTGTCGATATTAACCTACTCTTGTCTTCCGACTGGTTTTAGTTTTAAACTTTACTCTACATCCTGAGACAAATTCTAGTTTCAAACCTGAAACTGTACGTTGTCTTTAACAGGTTCTAGTTTCCGAAGTACGTAATATTACCTAGTATCTTACAATCTGGTATAAATACAGTAGAAAAAACAATTTCAAGTTTATTAATAGCTGTGAAAGCGCTTGAAACATGAACTATTTTTATTCACATTATTATCTGTGAATTTTTGGAGATTTCCTTTGACATACTTCAGTTGGTTATTGTAAACATCAAACTTTAAAAACTTTCTCATGATACTGTAATACTTAGGAGGATATTCATATGTGCACCTACTTTTTTCGCTTAATGATGACACGTATATAGATGTACCACAGCGTTTTGATCTGTGAATGCACAGCCATCTTTAGAGCACCAGTTGCCGTACAAACACAGGCTACTAGTGGTACTAATATTTGATATAGGCTTTTGCTATAAGAATACTTTATTCTAATTATGGAAGAATAATCTATAATATTTGATGTTCAATCATAAAGTTAACTGCTTATAATAATCGTAAAATATTTACGAGTAGTGGTCTCGTAAATCTGCAACAATTTTTCAGTGCAAAATACTACTACGGAGATTTTATCAATTTAATTAATGTATCATCAGATATAATTACGATTTAATATTTACTATTTAATATGAAATCAAAACACAATTGTATTCAGCTTATTTTAATTCTATTACAAGATTGATAATTTCTATATTTACTTTTAAGAATGTTTAATCTAGTATAACGCAGACACTATTATTATACTAACGTATCGTAACTAAGGTCTTTCCCGTATTTTTTTCAAAATAACCCAATACCATGGAGGCAATAAAATTAATGTAAGTATGCGTCTTGGAATATTATGATAAGAAGAAATTCTAGATTCTTGTTCTATTCTTTTTGGTGTTTCTGATCTGATTTGCCTTCTCTCATCATTGTAGTCATAATAAAATTGGCATAATAAAAAGTCTCTTGAAAACCACCAAAAATGACCCAATGAATAGCAAATGACAACCCTCCATACAAAAGGCTTCGTAAACACAGAAGCTATAAGTCTTAAATTACCGGACATCAAGGCTAAAAAATCAGTTAGAAAATCCTTCAGCAAAACCCAGTTTAACATTGTATAGCACCACGGTAAATATGCTGTCTGTATAGTGAAGAATCCGAACATATTCACGTCTAAATTAGGATTGCTCCGACACCAGATATACAATAATATATCGTCCAAAAGTGAGCCCAACCTGTGGATTTTAAAATCAAAATTGTTAGTGCCATATGTAACGGCAGCAACAATAGAACCACAGATCAACAATACAAAATATAAGTAATCAATCGATTTATTTCTATCAATGACCCTCTTCAAGAAATTTCTTTGGTCAGTGTTTAGTGTATTTATTGTATTAGGAGGAAATAATGCAAGCTTTGTACTAAATCCTTCCTCCAAATATCGAGAAGAACGGATTATGAACCATATATTTAATATCAATTCAATCAGTAGATCATCAAAATAACAGAACGACGTAATTATTCGCCACGGTTGGGAACTGAATGCTTTGTCAACAATGAATACAAGTTGTACAGCATGTACAATTCGTAACGTAGTCAATATTGATGCCGAAAGAATGGCTATGGACCAATACCTAGTAACAGGTGGTATACCCGATACCCACTGAAATATCCTATCCATCGCTTATAATGTGATGTATAATGATAAAAGCGTGTTAGATAAAATGTAAATATTCAAACGAGCGATTCAAAACTTTTTTCGAATGGCAAAAACTTGATAAGAGAGAATTCTATTCTGTTTGCACACTCGTATATCGATTTTAATGGATTCTAAAATAGATATAAATTCATTAATCGAGGGCTGCCATAATGATGAGATTCCGAAATGCATTTTGGAGCCCTATGACTATCTAGAAGGAATACCTTCAAACAATAATAATATTCGTTCAACTTTTCTAAATGCTTTTAACGAATTGTACTATCAAATTGAAGACCATAAACTATTAGACAAAATAGGAGAAATAATATCAATCTTTCATAATTCATCATTATTGATAGATGATATTGAAGATGATTCTAGTTTCAGAAGAGGCTTGCCAACTGCACATACGCTATATGGAACACCTCTAACTATCAATTGTGGGAATTTAATGTACTTCATTGCCTTACAAAAAGCACAGAATGAGCTACCCATGTATTACAATAAGATACACAATGGAGATGTTGATGTGAAAAGTCTCACCTATCAGATCCTGCAAATATTAGTTGATGAAATGCTAAATTTGCATCATGGACAAGGATTAGATATACATTGGAGGGATAGTGGAGATTACATTCAGAACCATTTGCCAAAAATAGATGAATACTTGAAAATGGTAATGAATAAAACGGGTGGATTATTTCGTCTTTCAGTAAAGTTATTGGAAGTATTTTCACCTACGTTTAAATCGACATCAGTAATACCATTGGCAAACTTATTAGGTATTATATATCAGATAAGAGACGACTATTTAAATTTAGTGGATCCGAATTATTCTCATATGAAGGGATATACGGGAGAAGATTTAATCGAAGGAAAGTTATCTTTACCTATTTTGCATTGTTTGAGAACTGGTTCTACTAACTCCCCAATATATAGAATCCTTTATGAGCTTAAAGATAGTGAAGACCGTAAAGCTAATCCTCAGCTCATTGAAGATTGCATCGAATTTATGAAAAATAACTCAGAGTCTTTGGAATTCACTCGTAATTTAATACACGATTATCACGATAAGGCTAAGTTGATGATAATTAACAATTCTACTTTAAGTAATCCAGAAGACTCAATGCTATGTAAAGTAATTGATAGGTTGTGTAATGTATGATTCAGCTATATATGTCTAATATGTTTATGCTAAATATTAAGTATTATTCGATTCATAATATAGGTTTTTTATGCTAATGGAATAGTTTTCTTCAAGTCTTTTCTTACTGAAGATTCGGTATCAAATTCTAAATCAACTTCACTAAATTGGTCGAAATTTGAATTATCATTAAGTTTTTGGAAAAATACATCGATATCCTCACTGCAAAACAAATTGGTAGAAGATATGTGTAAAGGTTGAAAATCAAAGGAATACGGATTTGTTATATCGAAGCGCTTCCTCTCAATATCAATATTTTTGGGTAATAAGTTCCACAGAAATGGTATATCAATAGCTTCATGTTCAATGAGATTGGGATTGCTACTATTTATTTGACCCTTGACAACTTTTATTAACTCTTGGTATGAATGACTTAAAAGAATCTTGTCCTCAAAACTTTTAAATCTTTTGATGTCCGTCAATAAAGGTGGAGATATTTTATCCGGATTGTAAGTTGACTGGTGTTTTTGAAGATTTCTCTGGCGCTGGGTAAAATACTTTGGTTTCAACTTTTGATAACCTTGAGCAGCATCATTAGTTTTATTTTGCGGTGCTGACGATTCTCTCACAGTATTATCTTCAAGTACAAACCTCCTATTTCTGTATCTAGAAGATCTTGAACTTTGTTTGTTATTATGCTTTCTTACATCTTGTTCTTTTTCGTTCGTTTTGGTTCGTTTTGGTGGGATATCCAATTCCAAACCTTCATCTCTCACTAAGAGCTCTTTATATTTGAGTATGTCGTGCTGAAGTTCGTTGTCAGTTCTTCTTAATTTTGTGGGCCTTCTACCTTTTACTTTTATATCGATATCATCCTTTGAAGCAGTAATTTCCGTTTCCATTCCAACTATAGATCACTATCTTCACTATCAGTAGTAACCACTACGTTTATCTCATCGCTTATATTTTTGATTGGGATCACGTGAAAGTCTAAATTTTTCAATGATTTTGAAAATATCAAGTAAACCATACATTGATAACAGACATATACGAAAATGTTATACTTGATTGGATTAGGATTGTCATATGAAAGTGATGTTACTGTTCGTGGGTTAGAAACCATTAAAAAATGTAAAAGAGTTTACTTAGAAGCTTATACATCGATCTTAATGGCCGCCAACCAAGAATCATTGGAGGCTTTCTACGGACGTGAAATTATATTAGCAGACAGAGAATTAGTAGAGGGTGGGTCTGATAAAATCTTAGAAAATGCTGACGAGGATGATGTAGCCTTTTTGGTTGTTGGTGATCCGTTTGGTGCAACAACTCATACGGATTTAATCATCAGAGCTAGAGAATTAAATATTAAGGTTGAGGCAATTCATAACGCATCCGTCATGAATGCCGTCGGAGCTTGTGGGTTACAATTGTACCAATTTGGTCAAACAGTTTCCTTGGTTTTTTTCACAGAAACATGGAAGCCAGATTCGTTTTACAATAAAATCATGGAAAATAGAAGAATTGGCTTACATACGTTACTTTTGTTAGATATCAAAGTCAAGGAGCAAAGTATTGAAAATATGGCGAGGGGAAAGATGATATATGAACCTCCAAGATATATGAATATAGAAACGGCAGCTAGTCAATTGTTAGAAATTGAAGAAGTGAGACAAGAAAAGGCTTACACTCCAAATACGCCATGTGTAGCGATTTCTAGGTTGGGGTCTCCTGAACAGACTTTTAAAGCTGGTACTTTACAAGAATTATCCGAGTATAATTCTGGTGAACCATTACATTCATTGGTTATGTTAGGTAGACAAGTTCATGATTTAGAATTGGAATACCTATATGAATATGTCGACAATAAAGAAAAATTCAAGAAGTTTGTGGAAGAAGATCAAGAATTTTTTAAACCTCCTCCATATGTTCCTCCAGAAGATGAAAATTTAAGCGACTAATTTTATTTCATGTCTATATATGTTATATGTTCGCTTAATAGAGGATTCTATGCTAAGGTTATTCTACGAGATATTTTTGAAATGATTAGATTACTTCCCCGATTAGTTTAGTAGACAAATAAATAATATTAATAATAATAATAATAATAATGATAATTCAAGCATTTTTCTTCTGCACAAATTCTTCCAATTCATGTTTCACATTCACATTAATATCCCAAATCATCCAGTCATACCAACCATAAAACGCTGGTATTATTGTCACCAAATGCCATAATGAATGTGCATCTACTAAATCAAAAAAAATGGGTGGGAAATCAAATATTTCTAACGACATACCAGCAATAACAATAACGCAAAGTAATAGTGGATACAATGAATAGAGTTTGAAAGACCTCGAATAAAAGCTTGGGATAAGTAATCTTCCCGGTTTAATATAATCCAAATGATTGGATTGTTTTTCTTTATACACCAGTCCATTATTTTCCAATTCATAGTATTTGCAATACAAATCAAAACAAAGAAATCCCCAAAGAATGTTTTGTAGGACACCAAGGGTTATATTAGCTTGCATATTGTACGTGTACAGCCAGTCATCGACGAGTCTATATATATGCCACGTATATGCCAGTATGCATGCAATTGTAAATAACACTCTTTGTAGCTTTCTATTGGGTAAATAAAGTCTAAAGTATCTAGTGAAAACTCCATAAAACCCACTCAAGACTGTAAGTCCTGCGACAAAATAGTCTAGTCTTTCCGTTACTAGGGAGTCTCTTATATGAAATACTGTGGAACAAATCCATGCAAACATCGCTATGAAACTACAAATTATCAAAACAATGTATTCGTATTTTATCATCGGATCCGCCTGTCTTTTAGCCTCTAATACCTTCTTAATCCCAATAGCATGCACCATATAGTTTCCAATCGAAAAAATTACTGATGCAAGTTCTTGTATCCCAAACACTCTCAAAAATGGCCATTTTCCATGGAATTGGTATATCTCTTGGTTATTTTTACACCTTTCCTTGGTAACTATCCTTTGGCATTCATAATCACAATTCAGGACACAATCCCATCCCAATAGCCTTAAATGTAATGGCAACAGACTACTGAATTCCCAATTCTCATTATATGCATGTATTTCGTATTCTCCATCTGATCCTAACTCATCAAGTATCATTCTTTGGAATATGTGATACGGCCTCTTGTGACAAATAATTTGCTCACATTGGTATCGGCATTCCTGAAACATGTACAAATCATCACCTGGCGAGCATATGATACAACCGATAAAAAGTTGGAAATAAACCAATACATATGTTATCCTAATATAGAGCATGTTGCTTCTGTAGTAATTGAAGCTTTAGTGATTACTGCTTAAAATATTTCGAAAAACTTCTTACAGTTAACGTCGCAATAAATATTTACATAAGCACGGGTTCATCATTTAAAATGGAAAAACGCAGCATTCTGGCGAATATTTTAGCATTCGATTATCAATATCCTCCCACTGACAGGCATATAATATATCCCAGCCATATGTTCAGTTGAATAGTGGTTGTATCACTATTATGGTATTATTTTTCAATATCATGTATCCTGATAACCCCTACGTCGTATTTCTGGTTTGTGTAAGGACAGTAATGAGAATTTCTGGGCGCTTTTTTTTTTCTGGTAAGGTTGAAAATCTGGAGTCGTAAATAGTTGTTCTTGTTAACTGGTTCTTCTCGTACATTGGATATAAGTCATTGGAAAGTACCAAATTATTGCAAATGACAACATCATATCTACTTGCAAGGGATGTCTGTAGTTCGCAGAATCACTTCAATGGAGAGAATCTAGGTGCTAGGATATCGGCTGTTTTCGTAATCCTAATAGTTTCTGCAATTGGAGCATTTTTTCCATTAATTGCAAAACGAAACCCTTACTTCACTCTTCCCAAATGGTGCTTCTTTATAACAAGATACTTCGGGTCTGGGGTGATAGTAGCCACTGGATTTATCCATCTATTAGCTGAGGCAGACCAAGCTCTTTCAGATGAATGTCTTGGTGGAGTGTTTGATGAATATCCATGGGCAGAAGGAATAGCACTTATGGGGTTGTTTTTAATGTTTCTTCTCGATATAGTGGCTCACAGGCGTCTTGAGGACAAGGTGAAAAGGGAAGAAAAATTAAAGGCCGAAACAGGGTCAGTAGAAAATGAAAATTCACTTGAAATGCAAACCGCTAAAGAGAAAGAGGAAGATGCAGAAGAAGTTAAACTGGTAAGAGATGATAAAGAGACAGCAAATATATATCAACAAATCTTAAATTCATTTCTACTAGAATTTGGAATAGTATTCCATTCGGTATTCGTAGGATTATCGTTGGCAATTGCAGGTAATGAGTTCAAAGCGCTATATGTAGCAATTGCATTTCATCAGATGTTCGAAGGTTTAGGTTTAGGTACACGGTTTGCAATGACACCGTGGCCAGAAGACAAACAATATATTCCTTGGGTTTTAGCCTTAGCTTACAGTTTAACTACTCCCATAGCCATTGCAATTGGTCTTGGTGTACGAAATTCGTATCCTCCAGGGTCAAGAGTAGCGTTAATTACTACCGGATGTTTTGATGCATTATGTAGTGGCATTTTGATTTACAATAGTTTGGTAGAGTTAATGGCCTATGACTTTATTTTTTCTCCTGAATTCAAGACGGATGATGGTATGAAAAGAATGCTTTGGGCATACTTTTGTTTAGCATTTGGAGCAGCAATTATGGCATTAATTGGAAAATGGGCATAATTATTTATTAAAAATTTCGTAATACATTTTAATCAATATATAGAACAATTTATATAAAATATGACACATGATGAAACCTTATTTTAATTTATCTGTATATATCTAATTCATTAGATCCTAATCATAAAACCTATATATGCAAGTGTCCAACTGAAGTGAATCTTATTGGTTCAGTTCTTGAAAGCTAAACTACCTATCAGTGAAGAACTGCTGAGATATCGAGCATGCGTGTAGACTGTTTTGCTGAGCCTCTAAGACTATTGATGCGTGGCCACGCCGCACTTTATGCTTTACCAATTAATGCCACAGATTAACTTACAATCAGTGAAATATTGCAAATACTATTATTAAGCTTTTCGGAAATGACTCAAATGTGGTTGAACTTTCATAGATCTTGAAATTCATTTCCCTTTGTTGGAGCTGTGGTTCTCAAGTGAAGCAGTGTTTCAATATGGTTCAGCCTTATTTATTTAAAAATATTCGATTCGCCTTATTCGTCTCTATCGATTTTTCAAAATCTTAGTATCGAAGTATCGAAGATTAGTATCACAATGACCGTTAATTCCAAAGAACAAAAGAGAAAACCACTTATTATCAATGCGTTTGATATGGGCTGTAGTGGACTACAAGCCCCGGGATTATGGAAGCACCCAAAAGACAGATCAAAAAATTATAATTCTATTGAGTACTGGACTGATTTGGCCGAGCTATTAGAGCGTGGAAAATTTAATGGGTTATTCATTGCTGATGTCTTAGGTGGTTATGATGTGTATAATGGTCCTGGAAATATTAAAGCCGCGGCTATATCTGGTGCCCAGTGGCCTATTAACGAACCGAGTGCTGTAGTGTCTGCCATGGCCGCAGTTACTAAGAATTTAGCATTCGGTATTACCTTCAGTACTATTAGTGAAGCTCCCTATCATTTATCAAGAAGGTTAGCTACATTAGACCACTTGACTAATGGAAGGGTTGGCTGGAATGTTGTTTCTTCGTATTTGGATAGTGCTGCCCGTAATTTATTAAATGGTGAAGATTTACCTCCACACGATGAAAGATATGACAGAACGGAAGAATATTTACAAGTTGTGTATGAATTATTGTTATCTTCTTGGAGTGATGATGCGGTAAAATTAGACAAAGAAAAAGGAATTTATTCTGACCCTGAAAGAATTAGACAGATTGACTTCGAAGGTAAATACTTTAAGGTTCCGGGACCAAACATCACCGATCCGACTCCCCAAAGACTTCCAGTCATATTGCAAGCGGGTACTTCTAAAGCAGGTAAGAATTTTGCAGCTAAGAATGCTGAGATTGTCTTTATAACTAATTTTACTCCCGAGAGCTTAGCTGGTCTGATCTCAGATATTAAAAAGCTTTCCATTGGAACATATGGGAGAGAAGAAGATGCTATAAAATTTGTCCAATTAGTAACAACTGTTATTGGGGAAACACATGAAGAAGCAGAAGAGAAGTATAAGGATTTGAAACAATACGGTGATCTAGAAGGAGCCCAGGCATTATTTAGTGGTTGGACTGGCATTGATATAGGCCAATTTAATCCTGAAGACGAATTGAAAGACGTTAATAGTAATGCAGTACGTGGGTTCATTGACAATTGGACAAAGTTGTCGCCTGGTGATCCAATTGACCTTAAAAAGACTAGAGAATATGTGGCTAGCCAAATAACAGTAGGTGGATTGGGTCCTGTTTTCTATGGAACACCTGAAGAAGTAGCTGATGAACTAGAAAGATGGGTAGATATTTCAGGTGTTGATGGTTTTAATTTTACTTATGCCATTCATCCTGGTACATTTGAAGACATCGTTGATCATTTGATTCCTGTTTTGAGAAAGCGTGGTTTGGCTTGGGATAACTATCCTCGTGAAGGCTTAACATTTCGGGAGAATGTGTTTGGTAGGGATGGTGATGATCCAAGTTTTGTAAGGCCTTCACATCCTGCCTATGAACTAAGATGGAGATCAGGCGTCTCTAAAGAGGAATTTGAAAGTAAATTAAAAGGCTTAAAGAATAGTAGGTAAATACAAATATAAATAAATAAGCTATATAAAAAAAGTAAATACAAGTACAAATAAATTGACAATATAATATATTTCTATTGGCAAAATCCATTGGATCTGTATTATATATTGTTTTTTTTTTCCTTTCCTTTGTACTCTAAATAAACTATCTCTTATATTAACAAGACTTATCCCTTAACACTCACGACATATTTTTCAGCCTTCGCTCCCAACAATTCTAGTTCTTTTAAAGCACCATCAATTGTATGAAGTCCGCCATTATAAGATCTATATCTAACAGGTTGAATTTTACCAGCATTTAAATAACTTGTAGTTATATCGACAAGGCTTTTTCCAAAACTTATATCCTCATGAAATTTCTTTATAATTACTTCTTTGTGTGAAATATTTTCAGGAACATATTTTGGAATAGAAACAATCCCAGCAAATACGGGCCTTGCAGTTTTTAGGTTTGGAGCAGAATTACTGAGTATATCAATTACAACAGTCGAAGTTTCTTTCGAAACACAATCTATACCATAATCAATTCCATCTTTTGCGACTTCTAAGACCTTCTTGGAAATTTCAGAAGCATTCAAATGGCGATCAATTACCACATCAACACCTAGACTTTTGATATACTGTTCATTCTCTAAACTTGCAATTGAAATCACTTTCAATCCATGGATTTTAGCTAATTGCGTAACATAAAGTCCTACCACAGTTGCTCCTCCCCATAATAAGATTGTGGCCTTTTTATTGGCTTCTTTCTTCTCATTTAAATCAATCTCAAAACTATTATATAGTAACACCCCAGCGGTAACCAATCCAACACCCACAGTTGCACCATCTTCAAATGAAAATGAGTCGGGAAGTTTCCAAACCAACCTTGAATCAATTGCAGTATTTTCCTGAAATGTACTAGTTCTATTGTCTCTATAGCTTGTACTACTAATCATTACTCTGTCTCCTACATTGAACTCATCAACCTTTTTGCCACTTTCTACAATAACACCGCTACTTTCTCTACCATTGATCCATGGAAAGTGATAAATACCAAAACCATATTTTTTGCCTTTCCAATCAATAGGGTTCAATCCGATTGCTTTATTATTTACTAATATATCATAATCTCCTAATTTAGGAATCGGATGATCGAGAACAACTTTCAATGGTTCTTTAAAATCAATAACAGCCAAAGCCGATTGGTTTGTATTAGTAAATACTAGACCTTGTCTTTTTGTATTAATTTGACTATATGTTTCCGTTGTCATTTTCAATTTAATTGCAATCTTACCAAATTTAGAAGGCTATAAGAAAAGTTATAAATCACTAACTATATTTAAATCATTATTGGGAGTCCATCAATTTATTAAATGTCAACCCTGTGGCTTCAATCACCTTATTTCAACTCAACAATGCCCATGCTTGATCTTAAGATTCGAAAACAGTTTCTATCCTGCAATAGCACACCTCTGATATTTTGCCTCAGTAGTAAGTCTGAAATCACAGTTAACCGTTATGCAATAAAGAAGAATATCACGAGAAATTTGTGCTGCAATTATTTAATTTGCGCATTTATAGAATTGTGGTACCCTTTTCCATGGATAAAGTCACTAATTTTATTTGGATAATGAGCTGAAGAAGAGTGACTAACACAGAGGATATTCTACTTTTTTGAAATTTAAACGTAGATAGACTGAGAGTTCTCGTTAAGATATTTACCCATTAATTTAGTAGCCACTATAATACCAATGGCAAAAGAGCACCAACTCCGACAATGATTCCATATCAACTACCTTGATTCAAAAATTCAACTGATTCCAGCATAATCAAATTAGTTTATTTGCTTTTAGAAATTAATTCTAAAAACAATTTTGAATACGGTAGCAATATGCAAATCGATAAATCTGTTTGTTTGGTGGAGTTATGTGATAATGCATAACTAATCTTTAAGATAATTGGCTAACGGGACGCCGCCAATATTACTATATTGTATTTACTATTTCCTCTTTTTATTTGATCTCCTTTAACATATACATCAATTAAAATTACCTAATTTAACTTTAGCTTTTAGTTTAATTTTAGCTTTCAATTACATAAATCATAGATTAGGCACTGAAATATTTATTCAAGCTTACAATAGAAGTAGCGTATGAACATTGCCTCGGGTGCTAATATTATTTTTTGAATATAAGAGCTAAAGGGCTAAGCAAGTAATGTTGGTATCGGAGATGTTCTCTTTAGTTGTACATCCATATTTCTGTTTATTAAAGATTTTAAGTCAGGACCATAGGAGAGTATTAAATGATAGAAGCATAAGAACCCGAGACCTCTTGTGTAAAGCTTGGTCCCTATCTAATGTACACGCGAAAGAATTTATATATCTATCCTATATATACGTCGGTCCAAGTCTCGTAGATTAGTAGTAATTTTGAACTACGACTATTATACCGAATAAGCAAAGAAATCTTTAAAAGATTAGTCCTATATAACTACATTTATCAGAGGAATACTTTGAAATATGTGAGAGTTATTTCATTATAATCACACCATCTTTGATATGAAACCCAACAGTAGGTGCTCACTAACATCATAATGTGACCACCGTAAAACCCTGATATATAAATGGAACTTCAGACAGCTATAACTGGCATTCTCTTTGTATTTCGCATCAATGTGTGTAACCTATTGCCCCGTATTTTGATGGTTTTCGTTAAATGGGCTTTCTTCATATTCGGATCTGTATTTTCTCTCGCGGAAACTTTTAATTGATGATAGATATTAATTGTCGTGTATTTATTAATTACAACACTGGCACTTGTTGCTAGAATAATAGCCGACGTGAGGCTTGCATGGTCGAACGAACTCTTCCGGCATTTATACAGGAGATAGGTAATAGCTTACTTACAATAGCGAAAACTGTCAACGACCAAAAGGAATTATTAAATTCAAGGTTAACTTTATAGGAATATCTATTCTTCGGGAACCTCCGGAAATTTTAGATATATTATAATGATATTCTACGGGGATATAGGAGTCTGAAATTGTCAAAAAGTAATATGTTTGTCTACTTGGAGAAATCCCCAATTCAGAATCAAATAGATCCCTTAATTCGTTCCTAATATATATGGGGTAATGATATTCCAGGGAATACCCGGGTTTGAGATTGTTAAAAACTATAGATGTGTTTGTCGACTTGGCAAAAAAATAAATTTCACGAAGCTCTTTTAATACCATCTATTCATCGGAAATTTGCGGAACATTTCTAAAGGTGCACGGGGTAATGACACATCAAGGTATACTGAAGTAGATATTGTTGAAAGTTGCGCTCTTTAGCAAGGAACACCCGCAATTCTATTTATTTTGTGTCTATTCAAAATGTCAATCTGCACTATGCGTAGTGCAAAAATGTGTCTTACCCCACTGGAACAATTTTTTAGTCGGGATTAGCTATAGAAAAATTATGCAAACCCGTGGCGGAGAATATCTACAAACCATTTAGTGATAACCCTTAATCTTTTCAAAAAGAGTGTAATCCAAAAAGTTGTTCAAAGAATCAAACCGGGACAAGGTTTAATACTGACTTATCTCTATTAGTACTATAACATATATAATATAATCCATGTGAGTCGTTCTAATCTTCTAAAGATTAGCAAAATTAGGATATTTAATTTCTATGCCCAGAAAATATGATGGCCGAATGACATAATTGACATTGTTCTCAATATGCATTTCACGTCTTACTCAAATACTATTCGCCTAACCGGTAATTGACCTGAGGAGAGATATTGCAAAGTAATAACCCAGATTTGGCAGAGTCCGAATCCCATATCCCAGTTAGATGCATTAAGAGTAATTTGTTGAACCTTACCCCACAACCTTTATATGTGATAGACGACGAATGCTCTCAACGCGATGCGGCAGATACCGGATGATATATATTTTCTATTTTGATAGCTGTCACATCAAAATAGTATTTAAACCGGCCTTATGTAAAACTATTTGATAAATTAATCAAAACTCTTATCTAATTATTAAAGCAACTTTTGCAAAATGGGACCTTCACGATTAGATAATGAAGAAGCTGCGAGCTTTCAATCTGATTATGTTCCATCCATGGTGATTAGAGAGCATAACAAGCATATTATTCAACCACCTAATTTCTCATCACATTCCATCTCAAAGTATTTTAGAACGAGGATACCATCCATGTTTTTAACAAGAGACGAGATAGATCAATTTACCTGGAATGACGTGTTTAATCCTTTCTCTTCGCTCAAAGAAATGAATGGTCGTCAGTGGAATTTCTTTCTAGTTGGTTTCGCTGGTTGGACTTGGGATGCGTTTGATTTTTTCCTTGTTAGTTTGAATGTTCTGTCTATTGCAAAGGATCTCGACAAAAGTGTCAAGGATATCACTTGGGGCATTACTTTGGTGCTTATGCTCAGATCAGTTGGTGCCATTATTTTTGGATTATGGGGTGATAGATATGGAAGAAAATGGCCTTATATTACAAACATGTTCCTTTTGGTTATTCTTCAAATAGCTTGTGGGTTTGTTAAAGATTACAAATCTTTTTTGGGGGTTAGAGCATTATTTGGAATCGCCATGGGTGGTATGTTTGGGAACTGTGCAGCTTGTGCTTGTATGTATTTTATCAATCGCAACGGCGCCAAATTTTACAATTGGGTTACTAACAGTCTATATAGTGGATGATGCACCAAAGAAAACAAGAGGCTTCTTGTCAGGAGCGTTTCAACAAGGATATGCTTTGTATGTATCATCTTTTCAATTATATTTCTAGAACGACAGATACTAATTTAATTTAGCGGATATTTATTGGTTGTTATATTCCAGCGTGCTATTACGGACAATTCAAAATATAGTTGGAGAGCATTATTCTGGTTTTCAGCTGGTCCTGCAGCAATTTTCATGGTTTGGAGGTTCTTCTTACCCGAAACAGATACATTCTTGAGGCAAAAGCAAAAGTTATACGAAAATAACGAGAAAAAAAAGCTGAAGGTTTTTGAGTTTAGCCAAGAAGGAAAAAAAGCCGTTAAAAGTTACTGGCTTGTCCTACTTTATACCGTCTTTTTGATGTCCGGTTTCAATTTCATGTCCCATGGTTCCCAGGATTTGTATCCTACTTTACTAACAAAGCAATATGAGTTTAGTGCCGATCGTTCTACTGTTACTAACTCTGTGGCCAATTTAGGTGCAATCACGGGTGGTATGATTCTTGGTCATATGTCTACTTTCATTGGACGTAGACTAGCAATTGTCGTAGGATGTGTACTTGGTGGTGCCATGATATATCCATGGGCCTTTATAAAAGGTTCGGGTATCAACGCCGGTGCATTTTTCTTACAAGCTGGGGTTCAAGGCGCCTGGGGTGTTGTTCCTATTCATCTTTCTGAATTATCTCCACCACAGTTCAGATCTTTTGTTACTGGTCTTTCTTATCAACTAGGTAACTTATGCTCCAGTGCTAGTTCGACTATTGAAAGTACAATAGGTGAGAGGTTTCCAATTCACAGAGAAGGTGAAGAAGATATATATGATTACGCAAAAGTGATGCTGATTTTTATGGGATGTGTGTTTGCATATTTGATCATAGTTACCGTTTTTGGTCCAGAAAATAGAGGTGCTGATTTAGGAATTGAAAGAGATGAAATACTTGATGATGACATTCACGATGTCACTCAAAAATCGATTGATTCGATTGAACATTATAAACCCGAAAAAGACGAAAAGAAGCCAGCAATAATTCACGTAGAATAAACATTGATTTTAATATTCGTATAGCTATGTAATCGAGTGAATATATATCTTTTAAATAAGAGGTAATTACGTATCCTAATAGGAGTAGACTTCTTCATGTTTTAATAGACCGTAGAAATGTGCAAATGCTTAGGTCACGTCTATATGTTATAGACATTGTCAATTTCATCTCATATAATAAATCATTCAAACACACCAAATAATTTACATTTCTCGAAGATAAAATTTAAATTATTTTTTACTTGGTACGTTTAATTGTCAGTAATGGAACTACTGAGATTGGTATAAAGTTTTCAATATAATTCACCATACTTGCATTATTCTTTGCCATATTCCCTACTTCAATTCCTCTGCACATTTGTCTTTCTAAATGAATTTCAGTCGTTTTAGCGACATAAGACTATTAGATCTACTGTGGTGATATGAGACATATCAAGGAGAAACATTAACACTGACATTGGGCTTATCACTTTCGCATGCAAGGAATTTTAAAAAAGAGTCTCGGAATTGTAATTTTTTATGGTTTTTACTTCTAAATTGTCTACATTTGAGTAAAATTAAGTCAATAAAAGCATTTAAGTAACTAAAAACTTAAAATAAAATTTGTTCACAGTCTTATGCAAATGCAAAGTTTTCATAATTGTTTTCTGCTTCTTTAGTAATATCTTTGAAATAATTATTTGCTCCAAAACGTAAAGTAGGCATTCTTTTGGTTTATTCCCTTCACGGTTAACCCCCATATACCAATAATCTGCTACTGGTAGTAAATTCTGGTTGACTCCATCGTTAATGTATTTGTTCCAACCCAATTGTGCCTCCAAAGTAGGCATAATGCGTTTATAATTATACTTCTCAGTATTATTTATAGCATCCCGAATCCACCCACTTTGGGTTAATGCGCATGTTGGTCCATTACAGAAGGCACTAGGTCCTTGCGGTCCATAAAGGAAGAATAAATTAGGATATCCATGAATCGTCATTCCCAAATAAGTGTAAGTGCCATTTCTCCAGGTATCCTGAAGAGTAACACCATTGTCTCCTTTCAAGTCAATTTGATAGAAATCTCCTGTAACTGCATCAAGCCCAGTAGCATATATAATGATATCAAATTCATATTCTTTTTCAGTTGTTTTCAAGCCTGTCTCAGTAATTTCAGTAATAGGAGCTTCTCTAATATTGACAATATCGACATTATCTTGATTAAAAATTTCATAATAACTTTTCTCAAGACTTGGTCTCTTAGTAAAAATTGGATTGACCTGCTTTTCAGGAGCCAATAGTTCTCGCTTCCTTGGATCTTTGACTCTTTCGAAAATCTTCTGCCTCCAATACTTATAAGCTATTTCATTTGTTTCTGCATCGACAAAAACGTCTCTGAAGTTTCCAAGCCAAAAGCGGAATCCTCCCTTCATCCAACATTCATCGAACTTTCTAATTTCCTCAGGTGTACAATCTTTTGCAGCACGGGCATCTTCATCAAATTCAAATCCCGAAAAAGATTTTCCTTAAGTTCTGAAATATTTCAGGGTAATTTTCTCTTCTTCTGAGTTGTAATTGCCTATCGTTTTAATCATAAGTACGTTGTCTCATGGGTAATGCAGTATTAGGAGTACGGTGAAATACAATCCAGTCCTTGACCTCGTGTCCAATTTCTTGTACAACTTGCACCCAAGACGCACCAGTACCAGTTACTGCTACTTTTTTCCCTTTCACATCTACACCTTCCCATGGCCAATCCGCAGTATGGAACGAAACACCCTTGAACTTACTTCTATCTCCTATTTTTGGCGGATACATTTTCTTCGCCTCAAAACCACTACAGAGAACCAAGCATTTACATCTAAACTCCCCTGAAACTTTTCCAGTTACAGTGACATCCCAAATATTATCCTTCTCATTCCAATGGGCTTTGGAAACGTAGATTCAAATGAAAAGTCCTTGCTAACATGAATTTGAGAATCCGCGTATTCAAAATAATTTTGCAACTCTTTTCAGCCGCGGAAACGTTCCGAAAAGATCCAGCCTTTACAAGTTTCCTCTAACCACAGTTGATAGCACGGAACTTCGGTATCTACCCTAGCCCCTGGGTAGCGGTTATGGTGCCAAACCCCGCCCAAAAATGTTCCTCCTTCAAAACCACGCACAGAATAACCGGCTTCTCGTAATCTGAAAAGTTCTGTTACACAGCCAAAGCCACCACCAACGACTAAAGCATCAAAGAAGAAGACACTGTATATATTTTATTATTAACAATTCACACTGTTAATAAATTAATTCTTTAAAACTCGATTTTTATCCAATATGTAGTAAAATAATGATCAGTACTACGGACTTGTTGTATTAGAGGGATATTATGGTATAATATTTTTCTTATGGAATCACAGTCGTGGTGCGGTATTCTAGCGAAATATACAAAGCCATATCGTCACCATTGTTGCACTTGAACCTCTTCAAAAGATCTGTTTCTTTAGAAATATGCAAAATAATATCCTTTGCGATGATATAGTACGGAAATAAGTTCACCAAATTCATAATTACGGAAATGTTTCGTAAAAAGTAATTGCATAGGACATCATCCAATAATATCTAACACTTTTATAATACTAAGATATTGTTAGAGTGTTGTGGATCTTGTCAACAAAAATGTGATTCGCTCAAAATCTGATAAAATGTACGTATATCGCAAAATTCATGAAAATCAAAACTTAAAGATACTTAGCCTATTTTTCACAGCCTTGAATACTCTATTATATATACCATACCATATGTTCTATAAAGAAAAAGAGATCAAAACTGTATTCTTATGATATTTGGTTTAGAGTTAGAGAATCGGACATAGAAAAGGAGGACAATTCCGATTCTCTCCTCCTGTAAATCGAAAATTTTATCAAAAGTAAGCTGGGACATGAAGACACTTTCATCATTATTTATAGCTCTCCTATCGCAATTTAAATTCGAACTTATCGTTCAAACATATTCCAATATTTTTATCGTTGGGCGGATATATGATAGCAGGTTTGTACATAATTATTTGTCGAAATGTGGGGTGAAAACCATTTTCCCGGCACTTTAGTGCGGGAGTAAAAATTTATTCGAATATTGGTCTATATCCAAATTGTTGAGTCTTAAACGTCGTTCTTAGAATGGCTCTGAAGACTAAAAGACCTAGATTGATTCCTCCTGAACAAAGGAAAAAAGTCTCTAAAGCTTGCGACAATTGCAGAAAGCGGAAGTTTAAGGTATGTTGTATGTATCGTTGATTCCAAAATAATCTTTTGTGGCTTAAGTACTAACTTGAAAAAAGTGTAACGGCGAATCGCCTTGTCTATTGTGTTCTCAGAAAGGGCTAGAATGTCTTTACTGCGATATAGATAGAAGATCATTAAAGGGGAAAAAGATATCAAGGACAGGAGACAAGCTAACACCTGAAATGAAGGAATCTACTACTCACTTGGAGAAGAAAGGTTCAAGTAACAACGGCAGTCATCTGCCTTTTCCTTCTGGTAAGCTGATTATTTCAAATATATCTGCAAGTGACTTGCAACCTTTATTAACATTACCGTTAAGCGACGACGACAAGAACGAATCACAAGCTGGCATTAATGGATCAAGGACAGGTGATAGCAATATAATAGAAAATGTACCGAGAAAAAGTGGAGAGCATACTAGGCTATTGCTCAATTCAGCAGGTAACTTGCGGTACTTTGGTGAAAGTAGCCCATTGTCGTTAATACAAGAATGTCGCTCAATATTCAAAGTAGTTCTTGGTTCATCGAAATTTACCGATGATCCTAAGAGAGGACGTGTTATGGACGAGCCTTCACAACCAAAGAAAGGGATTCAAGTTTTGTTACCCAAAAGAGAACTGTGTGATATCCTAGTAGCCCTTTTTGAAAGAAATATTAATGATGCATTCTACATCTTCGACATGGAGCACTTTAAACATAACGTTGTCAATTTGGCATATAATGAATCTCTGCACATTAATACACCCAAACTATGCATGCTCTATTTTGTTCTTTCCATAGGTGCTTTTTTTGCAGAGGCATCATCAAGTCGAATAAAGGAGCAGAATTTACGTCATGCTGCTTTTTTTGAGAGCGCAGTAGGTATGATGAGAGATTGTGTTTATGATGGTAGGCTATGGATGGTGGAAGCAGATTTTTTGAGACATTTTTATTATCAATCAAACTGTCAAAGAAGTTCTGCGTGGATACATTTGGGAACTGCCATAAGGCATGCCCAAGGCTTGGGATTGCATAGAAAAATCATAAACGAAAAATTTACGAATCCATATTACGTTATGCATAGAAGAAGATTGTGGAGATCCTTATTTATTTGTGATAGAATATATTCAATAGTCCTTGGAAGACCATTGGCTATTAATAATTATGATTGGGATGATTCAGAATTGCAGGAATTGAGTGATGATGCAAATGAAAACTTTAGAATTAGGTGTCAAGTAGAACTTTCTAAAATTGCGCAAATCAATAGTAAGATAGTTGAAAATATTTACCGAGATGGAGTGATAAATATTAAACATACGCGAGCTTTGGCTATCGAGCTCAAGCTATGGTCATTAAATATACCCAGTGACCTAGACATAAGCAATACATTGAAAGAAGATTTAATGTCAAAGGATAGTAGCAATAACTATTTGTTAATGCAAGTCCATTTGGCACAATTGTATGGTATTATGTTGTTATTCAGACCATTCTTAATGCATGTACTTTTAAGAAAACTAAAACCTGGAACCTATGGCGAATTAAAAGATGACTGGTTGCTACTTTACTTTTGCAAAGCATGTATAAAATCATCATTCTTGTGTGTTTGGTTGATAAGTTTTTATATGGAACAAAAGGGTGATAGAACAGAACTGTTTGCTATGAGTAACGGCTGCTTATTTGCGTCCGCAATATTGGGCCTCACTTTGTTAGAGCAAAGGCTCCAGAGCAAGCCAGATTATGACTATATAAGGGTCTTATCCGACACATTACAGGTAGCCAGTAACCTTCTACATAATGATGGGGCATTTAACCTTAGTTCCGAAAGATGGGGAGAGAATGTTGACAATATGGTAGCTGCAATCCCTAAATATCAACATGAACAAACTTCTACTAATCCAGGAGATGCTTCTGACTCTAATAGAAATGATTTTGAAGAATTCAGCAAAGAGATAATATTGATGGATAATGAATTTGGAGGTCTAAAGGATTTAACAAATTTTCAGCAAGGTTTCATTCCATCCGACGATGAGTTATTATGTGCAATGGGAATAGATCGACAAGAACTAGGATCCAATGAAAGCCCCCCTTTAGATGCTTTTTTGTATGATTATGGTAAAAAAGATCAACTTTTCGATAGGTATATTTAGATAGGAAAACATAACCAATTCGTAATATTTGCAACGACTGAAGACATTGTACTCGAAGAATATCTAGATTCCTTTTTTGTATAACTCAATAATTGTAATATTAGCTAAAATGTTAAATGTTAATACTCAAATATTCATAGCAACCTTTCAGTTTTACAGGAGCCATAGTCTGCAGAAAAATGGGATATTGAGAGAAGTGAGTTATTAGAAAAAAGTTTAAATACGGGTAATAATTAAGATAGTTTATAATCAGTACTAGAGATAAAATACAAGTATAGTTTAGAAACGTGATTCACCGAATTTCGGGCGTTGATTGCTGATTCCTACTTATCATTATACGCATAATTCTCGGGAGATCGAGCCTCAGAAGTCCTACATAAAGTTTGCAGATGTCGCAATTATATTACATGCCAAATTGCAATCCACACCTTGGAGTAATATAATATATGTGGCTAGATTGTGAAAATTCCTCGTTCAATTTGCACAAACACAATCGGCTGAAATATTTTTCACATTTTCTTCAAGGCTTGTGAACATTGAAAAGATTCAAGTATATAAGTTTCGCAACCCTAGCCAAAGTGAAGAATGTAGCATCAAGTAATAAAATTATATGATAAAATATAATAGTTCGTATAATTTTGGTAAAAAATGTCAGGAACAGAAGCGATACAACTTTTGAATCAATCTAGTGGATATGGAATACTTGTTGGGGTTGGAGCTTTATTTGCAATTGGCATGATTTTAACCACAAAATTGCTAGAGAAATATCTCCACGAAGATGCAAAATCAACAGAAGTCTTTATGGTTGCTAACAGGTCCGTAGGCATTCCTTTGTTAGCCAGTTCAGTTTATCTGAGCTGGACTTGGGCAACTGAATTATTATGGGTATGTACCATGGTGTACAATTATGGAATTATGGCATCATATTGGTATTCTGCTGGACTCGCAGTTCAAATCTGTCTCATGGCATTGATTGGTATTGAGGCTAAGAAAAAGATTCCCTCTTGTCATACTTCTTTGGAAATTGTTGAATTAAGATATGGAAAGGCGTGTCATTTATTATTTATGTTCTTATCGTTGACTAATAATTTATTATCATGCTGCTCAATGATTGTGGGAGCTGCGGGGGCAATCTCTATTATTGCTGGTAATCTACATATAGTTGCCAGTACAATGCTTATTCCGTTTGGTGTATTATTGTATACAACCGTTGGAGGTCTAAAGGCCACTTTTTTAACAGATTTTGTTCATTCGTTCATATTGTTAATCATCCTATGCTATGTTGATACAGCTATTATTTCATCAAAAGAAATTGGGGGATTAGATGGACTTTATGATTTAGTAATGAAACATGAATCGGATAGATATATTGAAGGTAATTACAACGGATCTTTTTTGACTGGAAAATCTCAGGGTGCAATATTTTTTGGGATTATCCTAACCCTTGGGAATTTTGGACTAACAGTGATGGATTCGTCATTTTGGCAGAAAAGTTTTAGTGCTAATACAAAAGCAAGTTTGCCAGGTTATTTAATCGCGGGATTTTTTATCGTCGCTAATGTTTGGGGTTTAGGATCAATTGTAGGATTATCCAGTATTGTATTAGAAGGGACTCCTACTTTTCCTACGTATCCTAGGAAAATGACACCCTCAGAAGTTAGCAGTGGGTTTGTATTACCCTATACTGTAAAAGGATTATTAGGAAATGGTGGAGTAGGTGCAATTCTATTAGTAATATACTTAGCAGTGACATCTACCGTAAGTGCCCAAATGATATCTGTTAGCAGTATTTTGTCGTTTGATATTTACAAGAAATATATTAAGCCTGATGCTCAGAATCATCAAATGATCAAAGTTAGCCATTTCGGGGTTATATTCTTTGGCTTATTTGCTTCTGGATTCTCAGTAATGTTGCATTATGTTGGCGTTGATATGACATGGCTAGGATATTTTTATTCAATGATTATTTGTCCTGGTACGTAGAATTTTAATTTCGCTGCAAAAAAAAAAAAATACACAGAATTCAGATGATTATTAACATACTAACCCTATCTAGGAGTAATCCCTTTAGTGTTTACGATTACATGGAGTAGACAAACAAAGCTGGCTGCTTTTATTTCTCCAATTATAGGACTCGTTTGTGGACTTGTTGTATGGACGACTACGGCATATCATTATTACCATGAAGTCACAGTTGCAAGCCTTGGTGGTCAATTGCCTTGTATGTTCGGTGGTTTAACAGCTCTTTTATTACCTGGAATAGTTAGCATCGTTATAAGTTTGACTATAAGGCCATATAGTTTTGACTGGAATCAATTAAGGCAAGCAGAGCTTATTATCTCTGAAGAGGATGAACTTATTCCCAACCAAAAGATAGAGTTCGATAGTTCAGACGAATCAAATGATAGCAAAGAAAATATTGATAAGGCGAATCAGAAGACAAATATTAGAAATAGAGATGATGAGACTGATAGTGATAATGTGCTTGATGAGCTGCTTGAAAGAGAAGAACAAAAAAAAAGGTTATTAACGACCTATCTGAAGCTTGCTTATGCGGCATTTATATTTGTTCTTTTAATCACTTGGGTACTTTGGCCATTACCTTTATATAGAGATTGGGTCTGGAGCCGTACGTACTTTAAGGGTTATATAACAGTATCACTTATTTGGGTATATGGAGCGCTATTAGTAATTGGTGTTTATCCATTGATAGATGGAAGACATTCCGCAGCTAAAATAATAAGAGGAGTATATAATGATTATTTAAAAAGAGATTAATCCTTATTTATATTTGAATTGAATGATTTAGGCTAAAAAAACTACATCTATTGCTGCCATAGAAAATTTTTTGCAAACGATGCATCAAGGAGAACATTAGAAAGACTATAGGAGACAAATTTACGAGATGAAATGTGTATATGTCTTTCAGATTTGCATATATGCTAGTTAAGTAGCTCTAAAATATGTGCTAGAGATTTATAGTATTAACCAATTTAGCTCCATTTTAGTACCAGGTAATTTCAGATGAGGTTCGCTAAATAAACACATTTGTTAACCGAAAGATAGCTAAACTTAAGTAGCAGATGATGTTTTATCGACATACTCGAAACATGTTCTCATATTGACCAAACCCACGTGATTGCACCATGATGTGGTTCGAATATTTGCAACTTCAAGAGAGGTGACAAGAACGGCTTAATAAAGCCACTTTAAGTCAAATAACTAATCTATAAATTTTTAAAATTATCACTTATATTAATTAGCTATTTTTTTTTTCAGGTATCATTAGTGAAATGACTAAAAATATTGACAAGGGACAAAGAAAATTGAAGTATAAACTAAGGCCTTTCATTGAAGCTCAACCTTCAAAATCAAGTATTGAACCAGTGGAATTAAATGCAATAGATTTATCTTTATTTAGGGAAGGGCCAGAATTTTTAGCGCAAAGGCAAAAATTAGCCTCCAAATTAGAGAATACTTTATCTACGTATGGCTTTTTTTCATTGATCAATCATGGAATTGATATACAGACTTTTGATCGCTTAAGATCAATTGCCCAATCTATCTTAGAATTACCCGAAGAGATTAAAAGAAACCACCTCGCTGGTGCTTTAAAATCGGATGAAGAAGTTAGGTCTAAGTCTTTAGGTGGTGAAATAGGAGCAGGCTTTAAACCTAGAGGTTGTTGGCTGATGAAAAATGGAGTAGTGGATGCAATAGAACATTATAATTTTAGAGATTTACAACAACCGGAATTTTTCAACGAAGATAAAAATTATCCAGATTTAGTTAGATATTACTTGTCAGAAGTACTTATCAGAATTTCTAGTTATTATAGATTTTTGCACTCCTCGATTTTAAGAAAGTTAACAATATTATGCGATCTTATTTTGGAACTTCCGGAAGGATTTCTTTGGGAAAATTACTTTAAGGTCACTGAAAATGATCATAATAATTCCGGTAATGGTTTTGGAAGATTCATTTTATATCATTCAATGGATCCTAAGGAGGAGAAAATGGTAGACAAAAATTGGCTTAGAGGTCATTCAGATGGTTCTGCTTTTACATTTATTACTTCGCAGCCGATTATGTCCCTACAAATTAGGGATTATTTCACAGGTGAGTGGAAATATGTAGGTCATACTCCAGGAGGGTTGATAATAAATATTGGAGATGCTATGGAATTCATCACTGGGGGATAATTCAAATCTTCAATCCATAGGGTAGTGTCACCTCCTGATGACCAGAAAAACTTTCGAAGATTAGTCTTAATTTATTTCTGTAATCCAAAATATTCTGCAACATTAGATCCAGAACCATTGAATTCTACGAAACTAAAAAGACTAGGGTACATAAAGCCAAAAGTATGGGAGACAATTACGTTTTCTCAACGGGATGATGAAAAAGGTAGATTATTTGGTAAAATAGAAGTTAATGATGTAGAAGGTGATGAACCAAATTTAGTCCTACTATTTGCTAGACTCCATGAAAGATGGCATCAAGCTGAGCAAAATTTTTCATTTGAGGCTGCAAAGAAAAAATTCAAGGTTATCGTATGAGAGAGGCTGCATTTGGCTCCATAACGAGTCAATGCTATGTACAGTTTAATGTATATTGAAGAATTTTAACATGTTATAAACATCTAGCTATGTAATTAATTCTGCGAAGTAACTGTAGCTTCAGCAGCAGATAGTAAAGCGGTTACATCACTGGCTGGAATATACCAGTATGTTGGAACACCGGCGCTGAAATAAATAGAGGTAGCTAAACTGGTTGCAGTTGAAACTTCACTGCCCTTGCAATTTTCGGCAATACATTCAGCACCCCAGTTTGACATAACACAAATACAGCCTGTATTCCAGTATGACATGGCGTCAGTGTCTTTTTTGACACATGAATGAGCACATTCAGGAAGTTCATAGTAAATTGGATCAGCAAAACCATTTATGGTTGCAGTGTGTGCCACAGATGGATAATTTTCGGCGCTAGCTGAGCTCGCATAATATGATATAATCTCAGTAGCCAATAAATTGAAGGAAATCATGTTCATGTAAAACTAACAGTATAATAGTTTAAAATTAAATTTTCATTCCAGAGATTGGACTAAACTATTTATTCTTTTGACATGGAAATTCTTCGAGTATTTACGGCAACGTAGTAGATTTTCAATGAAAAATGTAGACCAGAATGAAACTTGAAATTGAAAGTATTAATGTATTATTGATTTCTAAAAAACATATATCACAACAATCATGCAGAGACCAAAGTATCTTCTATATTTAATGTTCTATCTTTGAGTTTGTAGAATAAGCTTTCCAAATAATTTATACCTTCATTTATTTAGTTGAGGAATTTAGAATCTTCTTCAAATGGATTTTTTCTACCTTTAGGTGAATAAGTATGAAGCTTATCAATGAACTTGTCTTTCACCGTATCATGTGTATAATAATGAAAGAATAGATTATTAGCAGTGTCTTCAATATGATTTTTCTCCCATGCATGTTGTTCTTCTTTCGTTGGTAAGGTCTTCGCATTGGACCATATGCCGCAATCGCAGAAGCACTTGCTTCAATAGTATGGAAATTGATGGTAGAAATTGCAACTCCAACAGTTGCTAAAGTTGGATCTTCAATAGAAAATGTGTCATAATAAAGTCCATTGACTCGACTTAAATTTGATGGTTCAATAACCTTTAAATATTTATTAAGAAATGGATAATAATAGTGATACCCTGTAGCTAATAGGATGACGTCAAAATCCTTTTCTTTGGTACCATCAGAAAATAGAACTTCATTAGATTCCGGTAGAAATTTTTCAATGACAGGCTTCGTAAAAATTCCTTCCGATTAAACCGCCTTATCGATCCAAGGAAACACAAGGTGTGGCCCTCGTTTGGATATAAAAGTTTGTTTGGCTAGAGGTACGACATACTGCAAAAGATTTGCACTACTGAAGCTTCCTCCAACTATTAACACCTTATTATCCTTAAAGCTTTGCGCAGATCTATAAGACTTGGAGTGTATTAATATATCTGGATTCAGTTCATTAAACTTGGCTAATCCTTCAATGTGGGGGATATTGGGAACCGTATAGGGACAATTTGCTATTACAACTGCATCAAATTCCTCCTGATACCATTCTTCATCATCAGTTGATGTATGTCTTACAGTAACAACCCATTATCGTTACTTTTGAAAAGTCCTTCTACCCTAGAATTTTTTCGAACGTAATCATCTAAGTTTTCTTTATCGACGAAGTCGCTAAATCTCTTAGAAAGCTCATCGTGAGATAGGAAAGGATATATAATCCTTGATTTATCTAAATATTTCGTCTCGTTAGGTAAATAAGAGAATCTTGTGAATCTTGATGGGATATTTGTAAATAATCCAGGAAATACTCCACTTCTGTTCCACTCGAGCTCTCGAGCTATTGGATCAAAGTTTCTAATAACAGGCTTATCAACAGAAGTGTTTTGCAAATTGTCTGGAATTGGTTGACTTGGATGGATGATATCTGGATCTGCATACGATTCAGTATCAAGTAAATTTTGAGGTGGTATTGGAAGATCTGAATCTGTACCACTTGTTGACCAGATGCCTCCTACTTTATCTTTTTGCTCAAACGCGACAATCTTAGTAAACTTGGGATCTGTCGAGTTGAAGCTTCCAATAGTTGAAGAACCATCTTTATTGGTGTGCAAAAATTCATATAACGAAGCAAGACCCCGCCTGGTCCCGCGCCAATTATAGCTATTGATTTTATATCAAGTTTTGTCATGATCGATAGTTAGCTTAGTCGTTCTTTTCTGTTATATTTCTCTATTTATATAACCGAAAGTAACTGTGGGTGCAGTGATGCCACTGTTGCAATGAGTTCTAATTATTACAAAATACAATGTTCGTCTCGTTAAGTTAGAAACGGGTAAATATGTCGTTAAATTCAGCATTACTAAAGTCATTAGGTGATTAGAACTAGGTTATCCTTCAACATAAATTACTGATAAAATCCAAATACAATGTGGAGAAGAATAATAGAAGTCACCATCGTTCCTTTAAGGGACAACGCTAAAAAAAAACCTACAGTTGAGTGCAAAGTTTTAATATGTGGCACTGGTAGCAGACACCATGCAAATTAGTGTGGCTTATTGAAATTCCTTATCACCAAATGAGCAGAAAACACGAAATTTTCATAACTAGCCCAAGTTCTCATTTCCTTAAATATTTCATTGTGGCGATTTTCATATTGTCCCAAGGCCACTTCTGGAATAACATACAACAATGAAATTTTAAGTTTGCTAATTGCATCTCATTGAGTATTCGGATATTCTATATTAAATTACCAAAAGGAAGCGAAATTTTGAAACTGTTAACTAAAGTATATAAAATTTAGTGATGAAGATCTATAATTTTTTTTTGTCATAATGTTTTAATGATGCTTCGCAATATATATAGAAAGATGTCATATCTTGACACATAAAATTAGTTAATCTTACATTACCAGTCGAAATTCTCATTTACTCTCTTTAATCTACGATCTGATTATATTATAATAGTTTGATAGATTGCCATAACCAACATACCACTTTGAGACAGAATCGATCAAAAGTTCGTGTATTTGATTACGATTAGACTTACTCGTATAAATTATTATTCGGAGATGACCTTCTTCTGCTTATTATTAACTTATGTACCTATTAATCGATAATGTACTTACAACCTAATGCATGTTATCAATAGGAATTTAATTGGAGCAATCAAAAAGACAATTGAACTTAGAATACATCCTAAAGTGATAAACTTGGTTCTTATCTTTGCACAGTACATCAATTTGCAATTTTTTCTTTAGTCGCTACCGAAAGACCGGAGAATGCCGCATCGATCAGAAATTTTTCGATAATAATTTACACGACCTATTTAATTGAGAGATAACAAAAAATTTTTTTTCTTTAAAGGCATCGAAATTTCTTGAACTATTCACAACAAACCATCGATATTCTATAGGAATCATATGGATATTCGCAGTTCTTAATATCAAATATAAACACGAAGAGATGAGTCAGTCAGATCTTGAAAAAAATATCGATAACATTGATGATACCAAAAAGAAGAGTTCATTGGATAGCTTCGAACACTCGTTGGAAGATGAACTGAGGCAGACAGAGGTTAAAACCAAAATGAGTTCATGGTTCGATATTATGGCGTCGCTGTTGAATGCAGAAACAAAAGGTATTGAAATAGTGACTGATGAAGAAAAAGGTAATGATTCTATATGGAATGCCGTCACTATGTGGCTATCAGCAGATTTGGTTATTGCAACATTTGCCTTGGGAGCACTTGGAGTTACTGTATTTCACCTCAGTTTCTGGCAATGTGTGTTAACAATTTTGTCTTTTTCCTTATTAGGTGTCTTTCCGATTGCCTATTTATCTATATTCGGACCTAAATTAGGTTTAAGACAAATTGTATTATCCAAGTTTTTGGTAGGTGACTATTGTATGAGGATATTTGCTTTCATTAATGTTATTGCCTGTGTTGGTTGGGGTGCAGTTAATATTATGAGTGCTGCTCAATTATTGCACATTGTGAATAATGGTGCTCTTCCACCATGGGCCGGATGTTTGATTTTGGTCATCTGTACGATCATTGTCTCATTCTTTGGATACCACGTTATTCATATGTACGAAACGTGGTCATGGGTACCCAATGCAGTTGCATTTATTGCAATAATTGCAAGAATGGCTAAGTCTGGGAACTTCACTTATGGAGAAATGGTCGGAGGCCCAACAACAGCAGGTAATGTTTTAAGTTTTGGTGGTACTATTTTTGGTTTTGCCACTGGATGGACTACTTATGCTTCAGATTATACAGTGTATCAACCTAGAGATGTTAGTTCAGCCAAGATCTTTTTTGGTATCTTTTCTATGTTGTATTCAACTTTAATATTTACCTTAATATTGGGTGCAGCTTGTGCTACTGGTACTCTTACCAACCTGCGTTGGGCGGAGCTTTATGCTGATAAGTCGATTGGGGGTTTAGTTTATGCTATTTTGGTGGAAGATTCCTTACACGGTTTCGGGGAATTTTTATGTGTTCTTTTAGCTTTGTCGCTTATTGCCAACAATATTCCAAATATGTACTCTCTTGGTTTATCAGCTCAAGCTGCATGGTCACCAATGGCCAAAGTTCCAAGATTAATATGGACTCTTTTAGGGAATTTCGCTACGTTGGCAGTCTGCATTCCAGCTTACTACGAATTCGAAGAAGTGATGGACAATTTTATGAATATGATAGGATATTACTTGGCAATTTACCAAGCTATGAGTTTTTCTGAACATTTTATTCATAGAAAAGGTAACTTTGCTAGCTACGATTATAAAAATTTCGATAGTAAGTTGTCTTATCCTATTGGTATCGCAGGAATTTTTGGTTTTTGTTGTGGGATTGCGGGAGTTGTTTTAGGTATAAATCAAGTATGGTACTCGGGTGTACTTGCACGTAAAATCGGTGAAAATGGTGGTGATATTGGATTTGAATTAGGCTTCGGCTTTGCATTTGTTGGGTTCAATTTGGTTAGACCCTTTGAAAAGAAATATATCGGTCGTTAAGATAAGGTTAATCGGTATTTTTCGATTAATTCTCTATAGAATATCCAGAGTTTCTGATCCCTGAATACGCAAGGGATAATTGTAGCGAAATCATAATATATATCAGATAAATTTTCATTTATCTCACGATATCATAAGAATTGATAGCTTTGGATTAATTATGCATGTCAGGTTGTATACCTATGAAGATAACCTCATTTCTATTTTCTTGTATAAATACAGTAAATCTTGTTAATAATAAAGAATAGGAAATAGTTGAAAGCCATTACTGCATATTTACTTTGAATCTGCAGCACTATGAGTTCGAGGTAATTTCTAAAATCATTCTTGACGTATATAGATTGATCGACATAAGCGAAAGTTGGGATATTTCATTTCATTTCTTTTACACTATGACTCCAGAGAAACAAAAGAGAATTTATGACCTAACATCTCAATTACGAGTCACCAGAATGAAATTTCGCAGATGTCAATTGTCACCTTACTAAGAAAGAACAAACATTCCGATCACTTTTCAGCGCCGACCACACAATGTGCATCACGTTGGATGTCACAATCAATGAAATGTAGGATATAGGAGGCAAGGAAATATTCTAATGCGTTTCACGAAACAGTTCGAAGAATTAGTTCCTGGGGCTTCACGATTAAAGTTCCATAGGATGCATGTAACTTAATTTATGTCAAGACGTTTGGCCTGTAACTTCAAGAATAGCATTCGTCAATGACTCACGGATAATACTTTAGTTGATTAACGACGTCATTTTAAATCGTTTCAAAATTATAAAAATAATTTAATTTGCTTAAGGATTAAGAACATACTTTATTAAATAAATGTGATAATTAGCCATGGATTATGACATCCAAAAAAAAAAAAAAATAACTACAAATGAATTGATTGAAGTGAAGGATTCAGAAACAAATTTTGAGAATATCTCGGAGTAAGAAATGACATCATTTCAAGAAATTGACACATCAACAAAGTCATACAACCTCGATGAGTATAATTCTAGAGGGCACAGAAAACCCAACGAAAGCGAACAAAAAGCCTCAAGATGAGTGCTGATTAGAACATCATTTGCTCTTTTTATTGTTTTTTTGAACGTGCATGTTATTCTTTTACTACGGTATTAACGAAATCATTTAGAACCCTTCCACTCTCGGAGATAAAATTAAAACAGTTATAAGAGTTGAAATATATCTATTAGCTTGTGGATCTAAATTTTCTGTATTTCACAGAGAAGTATTACTTGCATTAAAGATTTGAATAACAATAGATCTTTGAGGCATAATATAAATGAGCATACATATATGTCTACACTAAGCCAGAGGAATACGTTGACAATTCTTGCTATACTTGTAATCATGAAGAATTGTGAATAGACTTAAGTCTGAAGCCATGTATTGGCAGTGTAAGAATCCTTTTTGGTCGCAAGTTACCAGAGTTAGAATTCAGAACCCATCAAAATACGAGAAAAAGGTTCCGTCATCAATAACATGGTCTCATTTTGGACTAATAACTTAACTATTAAAATGCTGAATCTATAATGCGGAAATACCGGAAGAGTATTTTGTGAGTCATATTCGCAAGTGGTTACTAGGTTATTGGTTTCATGCATTATACCATTGATACTAATCCACATAGGGCAGCTGATACTGGTCTGTATTTGAATGTTATTAGAATGTGCTTTGGTTCTATTGGACCATTTTAATTTTCTGAAGTATTTGCCAGGCTACATTTAGCTGGAGCTTCTGGGATTAAAGGCTTGCTTTTTTTTTATTAGTCTTCAGTGGATTAGCAACAGCTGTCGTTAAAATACTTAGATTAAATCATTAAAAAAAGAGCAAAATACGCAAATTGTTTTTTTTTTTTTTTTTTTTTTACCTCTGTTTCTAGAAGATCAGATAGTTATATC